GTTTGTAATTTATTAATTCACTTAATGATCACCATTTACTAAGTGCCTAATGTTATTGAAGAAAAGAAAGGATTTGAAGCTAGAAGATATAACAGATTACTGGGAAGCAACTATAATTTACAAAAATGTGACAAGACTATGAAATAGAAATCATTGTTCTCCAAATTCAATATCTACTATGTTACAAAGGAAAGAAAACTCATTTGTCTGAGAGCTGAGATTACTGTTCAGTACTGAAACATCGTCTACTGTGCAGAGAGCTCAGAATGGTGTGATTCTCAGAACTGGACAGTAGTGAAAGTGGGTAGAATTCAATAAAGCTGTTATTGGTAAAGGATAGCTCATGTACATCTGGTCAGTTTCTGATATGATAGATTCAATATGAGTATTTTAGATTTTATAACAGATTCACAAATGAAACAAAAAAAACATAAAAGAAGATGATTCTCAGGTATTTTTTTTCTTTAAGTTTTTGCTTTGGCCTTTCTCAGAATAAGGACTATGTGGACACTTATCTGAGCATTGCACATGGTAGGTAGATTTTTGTGGGTGCCGTTACTTAGAAACAAGACTCTGAGATGTGCGCAGTATAGAAATACAGAGAACCTTTGTTAACTATGACAACTCATTAACATGTGGGTCCCATGAAAAGCATGTGCTGTGATTAGCGTAAGTTGTAAAATATGCTTTGACTACAGAAATCCAATATCAATTTTTCCATGTTAATTACCTAGAAAGATGTATCAACAGAGACGGAAGAACCAAAGGGAAATGAGAGGGGGATTTATACAGATTATGAGCGTCAAGCATGGCTGTACTTAGATTGGAAAATTGAATATTTGGTTTCCATTTACCTAAATCTCCCAGGTCTGAGTTATGCTCATTTAGTGTGTGAGGAAGTGCATGAAGGTATGGGTGAGTTCACGCATATATCTATCAGGAGACCTAGAAAATGAACTTTAACTGAATAGAAAAATCAATTGAACTTACAGCACTCGACATCACTGTTTGTTTAGATGAATCAGAGTTGTAGCTTTAATTCAAAGATTCATTTATAGAAACTCAATATCCCTACAATTTAACCTAAACACTCAACCAATGGATGCAAATGATTTCAGGATGCTTTTTTTCAATTTTTTTTTATGTGGGCCTTTCTAGGGAGGATAGAAAAGGCTGATAAAAGTAATTAACTCTTGATAAAATGAAAAAAAGATATAAAATATGAAGACTAATATTAACAAGGCAGATTTAAGAAGTGTGGTGGAATGGATTGATAAAAATAAAAATCCAGAAATAATACATAAATTATCCAAAACAGTGTGTGTTTTTAACTCAATTCAGTAAATGTGTTTTGGCTAATTATGGATTGTGAAACTTGAGGGAATAAATACAGAACATCCATTCCTTCTGGTAAGTTTATCACACATGGAATAAGAAGTGAATATGTGAATGTGGGCACTTGGGAGGAGAAACTATTCAGAGTAGAAGCAACAAGAATATTTTTAGGATTCCAATTTGGAAAGGTTTATTGTGACAAGCTCAAAAGACACATACCTTTTTTTTTTGGTCTGTCATGGGGCCTGAACTCGGGGCCTGGGTACTGTCCCTCAGCTCTTCAGCTCAAGGCAAGCACTCTACCATTTGAGCCACAGAGCACCACTTCTGTCTTTTCTGTTTATATGGTGCTGAGGAATTGAACCCAGGGCCTCATGCATACAAGGTAAGCACTCTATCGCTGAGCCACCTTCCCAGCTGCCAAGACACAGCCTTTTTTTTTTTTTTTGGCCAGTTGTGGGGCTTGAACTCTGGGCATGAGCACTGTCCCTCAGCTCTTCAGTTCAAGGCAAGCGCTCTACCACTTGAACTACAGCACCACTTCTGGTTTTCTGGCTGTTTATTGGAGATAAGAGTTTCACGGACTTTCCTGCCCGGGCTGGCTTTGAACTGTGATTCTCAGATCTCAGCCTCCTAAGCAGCTAGGATTTCAGGCTTGAGCCACTGGTGCCCAGCAAGACACAGCCTTTTTAAAATGAGTATTAATATCACACACAGAGAGACTATATGGTCAGAGTAAGATGAAAAGCCATTTCTCAATAGAAACTGACAGGCTAATGTGAAGTTATTAAGTAGGGAAATATTAGAGAGCTCAGAAAGCTGCTTTTGAGGTTGTTGATATAATATAAAATCTTAGGGATGTGAAGAAGTTTGGCTATAGGTGGTTTTGAAGCCTTTTTTTTTTTTTTGTCTCCCAATAAAAATCCTTATAGACAACTCTTTCTAATGGTCAGTTCTTCGAGTAACTCTATTGATTATTCTGAGTGATTATCTTGAAGAGAAAAATGATTGACAAACCACAGTGGAAACTTGGAAATTACATTCTCTAGAGAACTTTCCTTTAGCCATTACCTAGATGAGTTAACTTTAAGGTCGCTTAAAGTTAGTGACCTCAGACTGAAAGACTTATGCAGGAAGACTGTCAAAAGATAAGTTTCAAACTCATTTGATTTCCCTTTAAAACTCAGTGGAACTCAGAAGGACTTCAAATAATGTCCGGAACAATAAAAGTATCATACTCATCTGAAGGGAAAAGTGCCTATAATGCTGTCTTAAAGGGCTCACTTGGGTGATTTCTAGGATATTTTAAAATGTTCATATTCCTCCTACTCCTAATCTCTTCTAAAGCAAATTGTTGAAGTGGCTTCTCTGTAGCCCTAATAAGTTAGGTCAAAAGGGAAAAGAAAATCACATTTTAAGAGTATCAACTTGAGATCAAAGTATTTGCATCATGATTTTAATAGAAAAAATGTCATACATCATTCTTTTCACCCAAAGGAAATATAATATAATTCATCTATTTAATTTTGAATCATTTGACATCAGTTAACAAGTTTCTCAATTCTTTTGGACTTAGTGTAATAATTCTGACATTAACAGTTAATATTCAGATTATATAATTATCATGCACTTCTAATATTCTATCCTCTTTTTAGTTTAATAAGGAATATATTTTATCAACATTTTCTGAGCTTTTTGTCTTGAAAAACTCACCCCTGTATTGAAAAACAAAGGAATTACACTTTTGTTTTACTATTAGGCTGTTATCACACATTTTAAAAGAATATTCTTTGTGTTTGTAACTCCAGAAATTTAAATATTATGCCAAGAGTGTAGCAAGCTAGCTAGCTAGACATATATTTTTTAATCCTTCACCAAAGTCGCTTTGAAAGAATTCTGGCACTGAGAAGTGTAAGCAGTCCTCAAAGTGAAAACAGAATGCTTTTAAACTTCCATTTTGCCCCCTAGTGGTAGGAAAGAAACGATATTTCAGAGATGTTTCACAGTTCCTTAACCACTACTATCCCTTTTAGAAAAGTTTTCACAAGCAGTGTTCAATACCTTGTTTTATGCAAGATTCAACATGAATTGAAAATAAGGAAATATCAGCCATCATTTAACTTCTGACTATTAAATTATATGAATGACTGTTAGTTGTCTAAAATAATTATTAAATGGTTGGAATTATTGGTTTTCCTTAAATTTAGAAATTAAATGAGAAATTTAATCTCTGTGGTAATACTATATAATATAAATCTCCATCAGAATAATTCTAGCTTTTTTCTTTTAAGGATTCCTATGTGATTGAATTCTTTACTAATTAAACAAATCTCAGACACCTTGAGCCCCCACTCCCCGCCAGTCCCCAGCCCTCAAGAATTGTTCAGATTCCTGCATGAATCCTGAAATACCTCATTCTGGAAGAAAGCTTTGCCCCAAAAGGTAGCTTGAATAATTTTATTCAAAAACTGAGAGAAGGAATGAGTATCATATAATTTCATTAGGTATGTGAATATTCTGTCTTAGAAATAACTCTGGGAGAGGGTGGCTTTGTAGGATTTCCCTCTTTCTTGAATCCATAGTCTTATAAAAAAAAAAGCAGGACTAGAAAAGGGAAGAAAGTTAATGAAATGATGGAAATGTGAAGGTGACTGTGGAAAAAATAAAATGTGTGTGTGTGTGTGTCAAAGAGAGAGAGAGAGAAAGAGAGAGAGAGAGAGAGAGAGGTGGAAACATACCTATCAGTACAGAATCTAGAAAGACATAAGCAATATTAGAATAAGAGCAAAGATTCAGCAAAAAAATCAGTAATACAGCAATATACATTTAAATCTTCAAGCACATTACTATGAAATTTTTTTCCTCAGACACTTATCCAAAAATTAGCACATATAATTCAGTAATTTTTGTAGTCACTTAAAGTAAAATTGTCTCTAGTTTATTAAATAGCAATCCTAGACCTTGGAGCAACTGTTCTTTTCCTTCTATAATGATATTCTTTCTTATATCTAAATTCTTTTGTGTACATCCAATATCATCCCAATTTCCTGCCTATCCTAGCATGTATTATCTAAAACCTGCATTCGTTTATAAAGCACATTTGCACTCAGAAGTTTGAAATACCAGAAAATCAAATCTTTAAAGCTGCCTAAGGTTAAGGAATCACTTGTATGATCCTGAAGATTTGGCTTAAGTATTTAAAAGAGCAGGTTTCGTATTTCACAGAATGACAAATTCCTTGACTGAGGACCAAGGAGGAAATGAGAAAAGAATGAAGGGTGTTTGATTTTTTTTTTCCTCCCAGTATCCAGTATGCTGTATATGGCAGTGCTTTTGAAAGGCTCCTGTGAGTCAGAAATCCTGAGCAACAATGGCAATTAGAGAAGATATGTCACTTTCACTAAAGGTTCAGGAGAGGGGGAGGAGAAGATGGACAGAGAAGGGGAGGAGGAAGTGGGGAGAGCAGAGGATGGAGATGAAAGCAGGGCACATCCTGAAAAGATAATCCTCATGGTTATGACATAATCATGCTGCTTGTACATATATATAGGGGATGGCCAGAGCATCTCTCATAGTTCACTCACTTGCAAAGCCCGCTGAAAGCAAGAGAAAGCACCGGAGAGAGCTCTCTCTGTATCTCTCTGACTTTTGCTAGAAGGCTGCAGATGATGGCAGGAATGAAAATCCAGCTTGTGTGCATGCTGCTTCTGGCATTCAGCTCCTGGAGTCTGTGCTCAGGTAAGCTTAACTCCTTTTCCCAACTCCCTGAAGTGATCTCTTTTGCACTCTCTTGCTACTTAGGCTAATATCGGCAAGAGAATAGTGTCTCCCTTAATGCCTTTTTGGTAATAGTAACTGTGTGTACTTCGGTCTCTGTCTTTATAGGAAATGAAAGGTCTATTATCTTCTTTTAAATCTCTAAAGCAATAAAAAGGAATTTTATAGCATGAAACATAGCATGTTTTTCTTGGGAATACAGCCACTAGATAGAGAGGGGGAAGAAAAAAGAACCAAAAACTTTGAATTACACTAGTAATTATCTAATCAGGAATGTAGAGGAGGTGCCTGTCAAGGTAGAAACTACTTATTAAATCTCATTCCATTAAAAATGTTTTATTCTCACACTTGGACATTCTATTAGAAAGAAATGTTTTTCCCTCACCTAACTTGGTCATTTGTCTCTAATTATCTCTCTCTGTGAGTTAAGATGCTGAAAAGAAAAAATGCTGAATAAATGACAAATATAATTTGTAGAATTTTATTTGCAGAAAAATGGATTGTTCCAAGTCATTTCTCAAAGTACATTTTATAATCTACCTAATTGAAAAATAGATATGATATCAACATAATAGGGTTTTTGCCTCTCTATTAAGTTAATACAAAATATAACTGGGTAATTGGTATTTTGATATTAATGGGAATAGTTGGCTTTAGAATATTTTCATATGCTAATTTAAGAAAAGTCAGGGTGTAGCTAGACTTACATTTAAAGAAATAACATGATATATAATGCTTGTTTTAAATAAAATTATAAAAATAATTAAACAATTATATCAAAGGGAAATAGTCTTATGGGAGAAAGCAGCAAACAATATGTAAACTATTTGATGCTATTATAACTTTTTAGCTTCATAAATATGGCGTAGAAAGTAATTCAAACTCACGTTATGAATTTTCAGATGTAATTAAAATCTTCCAGCAGTACAACTGTATTTGTTAAAATACTTGGTTTCATTTGATGATTAGATTAGGACTAGAAGATACCAACTTTTCCACAATTGTAGTTCTATCTAATAGCTACAGAAGATTTAAAAGCATAAAATATGTGAAAATGAGTTATCAATTAAAAAACATGTATATTAGCTCTTGAAACTGCTTTCTGTGATAAGTCAAAATGTGTGGGGATTTTGGCATGTATTGTTCATACATTACTAATGGAACTTGTCATTGCTGTTGAAAAATACATTGCATCTTTAACAAACACAGAAAAAAACATTTCTAGCATACCTTGATTCCTAAATGCATTGTTTTCTCAAATGGTTTTGCCAAGTGTGATTTCGACTTTTCTTAGGAGTTAGAGGACAAGAAGTGTATGTAAATTTTAGTTTTACTTTGTTTAATCAAAAGTAATCACTGTTATAATATTCCACAACTTGATTCTATTATGTTGTGATATTTTCGAAATGTTACTGATCTATAAAATATTCATTAAGGTAAACTTGGAAGTGATATTGCAAAAAGATCAAAGCTCATTTTCCATATTACATTACATGCATTGAAAGAGTTACATTTCTGCTGAAATAATTTCCGTGTATGCTGTGATAAAATTGCAGTGTACAAAATTCAAAACTCTTGTTTAAAGCAGAAAACAATTCTGTTCAAGAGTATTTGGCAAAATAACTTCTCAAGTACAGTAAACCTCAGTATATTTTATTCTAAAAGTATCAGTAAACAATCACCCTTTATTTTGTCTTAAAATGTCTCGTGTTTATATTTTCATCATATTTATTAAATAGCAATATGCATATCTTAAATCTGTAGACTAGTAGTACACTTGATTAAATCTATTACTAAATATTTTACTGATATTCAGAGATAAAACAACTCAAAAATCATAAATATCTTTTAGCAATTATGCACTTATAAATACTTCTACTAGTCTAGCTGTCAGCATAAAATTAATCAGTATTTTTTTTCTGGGAACTATTTTAAGTAAAGTAAATATATAGAAAAGACACAAAGCCTTAAGACTAATTTTTAAGTTAATTTCAAATATGTAGGCTTCAATACTGTCATGTGCCATAATTATATTGTAATCATGTATTTTTGATCTTCCTTAGATTCAGAAGAGGAAATGAAAGCATTAGAAGCTGACATATTGACCAATATGCGTACAACAAAGGTGACATTTTCTTTTCCTTAATCTAGTGTTGAAGAATAGATGAATTATCTCTTAAAACATGGTGTACTTGTCTTGTAGTAATAGCTTCCCATCATGATTGGAAAACTCTTTGGGATGCATTTCCTTTATTGGGAAGATTTATAGTTTTAAAGATGCCAAAGGTGTCAATATGAGAGGGAAAATTGCCATACTTCAACCTTAACTAAACAGCCACATATGATTTTATGGGAATATATGCATGGTGCTTAAAAGAACATGTTCCTATTGTTAGATACTTAAATATTCAACTTAAATATCAAAATAAAACTTAAGTGAACATTTTGCCGGGTTTTTTGGTTGGTTTTTTGATTTTTTAGATCTTGAAAAATAAAGTGAGTTGCCTAAATTGAAAATGATAAGACATGACAACCTAAAAAGAAAATGTGATAGAGATAAAACAAACCTGAAAATTTGTACACATACTTTTTTCTCATATTTCTTTGATTAGTGGTTTTATGACTTTCCTCTTCATATCACCTATTTTTTATATTTTTAACACTTTTCGATGATAGTGGCTATTATTTTCTTTTTAAAGGCTCATCTTAAATTAGGGAGATTAACATTTTGTGAAATGTTTTGTTTGTTTATTTAATTTAAACTACATTCCAGATTACGAACTCTCTGCCTCAGACTTCAGAGTGCTGGAATTAAAGGCATACAAAACTACAATGAGATTTTATATATAGCTTACTTTTGATTTTAGCTCGGGATGTTATCAATAAATACACAACATCCATAAATATACAAATAAAAATTTACACATGTGTAAAAGATAATTTATACATTTATCTGCTTAAAATTCCTTTCCTATCCTTTTATGGATTCTATTATGTACATCTGTTCATGGCAACAGATTTAGAAAAATATTCTTCTGTATAGTTTTAATCACATTACCTTTATATTTAACACACATATTGTTCAGCTGCAATAAGATGTTATAAATGTGCCATAAGATGTTATAAATAAACATGCAGTTATACATGCAAATTTCTTCATAGCTAAATGTCGCAAAATATTCTAAATACAACTTTCACTGCATGCTACACAGCTATATGCACTGAGATAACATTCACTTATGTGATCTCTTGTTGGATCTTTTGCCCTATTTTCCTTCATTCCCTTGATTACTACAGCTTTAAATGTTTTAGTATTCAGCAAGGCTCTTATTTATCACTTAAAAAAATCACATTCATCCTTCCAAATTAACTTTAGAATTATTTTGTCTAATCCTATTCTGCAACTTCTAGTCTTCTGTTATTTTTCAAATGGAGACAATAATTTGCAATCGCATCATATTCGGAGAGCAATGCATATACAATTGCCACTTGATACCATTTCCTTTTTTTTTTTTCTTTGTAGTAACTTAAATATTTGTAAGTCTTTCTGGAAAAAATCCCCTCATCTCTACCATTTCCTTACATTTACATACTCTTAACTATTTCACAGTCAGGTTCTCCTACCTCACTTCTTTCGTGTTTTCTTAATGATTATTTTTCACAAGTAGAGAAGGTGCTGGTTGTGTTAATTATGAGTTCAGGCTAAATGTCATGAGAAAAGGAAGATAATTTTACAAAATGTAAAGTTTGGAATGAAGTAAAAACTTTGGTCAGCTGTGATAACCCCATGACAACTATTAATGTGTGAAATATTCAATGGCTTTACATTACTGTAATTTCTCAAAACGATTATTTTCCATTTCAGCTCCTCATTCATAAGACACAGCTGAATATAATAGCAAATGGGTACTTCTAAATTTTAATCACACTATACACATATGTTTATTCTTATTGTTCTTTTATATTTCCTTATTGTTTTCCTATTTGTATGTGTGTTACACAAGGAGACTGGATTTATTAGAGTAACAATGAGACCATAAACTATAACCAAATTCTTTAGCACAATACAATTCTTTTTTGTATTTTTATCACAGAAGCTTTAATTGTGTTATCATTTATTTTTCTAAATTTCAGACCAGTAAAGCAAATGTTCCCTCTTGGAAAATGACCCTCCTCAATGTTTGCAGTCTTATAAATAACCTGAATGGCCAAACTGAGGAAACCGGAGAGGCTCCTGAAGAAGAAATTGTTATAAGAAGGAAACTGCCTATGGTTTTAGATGGCTTCAGTTTGGAAGCGATGCTGACCATATACCAGCTCCAAAAAATCTGTCACAGCAGGGCCTTTCAACACTGGGAGGTAAAACAAAAACACAGTATGAGTATAATTATCATTATACAATTTAGCCCTCATTTGTATTGATAGTTGTGTCTTGATCATACCATAACAGGAAGACTTACACATATTAACAAAGAATAAACCATGTGTTGAGGTTACCATTCTTTCAGATGTTCAAAGTGTCCCACAAGTATTTGGACTTTGTCAAAATATTTTTTTCTTTAATCTTAAATGAAGGGCATATCTTGAGGCAGATTTTATCCGTATGTTTTGTTTGTGCCTAAATGGATGGAATACTTACGCAAGTTTTGTTTCTGGTGCTGGTAAGTGAAGGCATGTCTAAGAAATTTAAGTAACCCAAAATATTTTTTTCTAAAACCACTGTAACGTGTACTTACCTATAAATAAAGAGAACGCAAAAAAAGTCCATACAAAATGAGGAAACAAGTGAAAAAGTTTTATTTGTGCTTGAATATATTAGCACAAATCACATGAAATACAGAAATCTTGACTCATTATTTAGGTGGAACTCAGATATGCATATTCATGGGTTTTTAAAACTTTTGTATTTAAATATAATAGGTAATAAAAATGTTTATTCTTTTCACAAAAAGAGATAATAGTATACATATATGTATGTCTATGTAGGTACACATATATTTGTATACCTATATAAGTATGCACACACATGTATAAGTGTATATATAGGTATGTATATATAAGTACAATGTACACATACATGTGTATATAAAGTTGTACATATATACACAATTGTACATACATATGTATGCATGTATGTATACATACATGTGTATGTATACCTATATGCATCTAGGTATATATACACATACATGTGTACATATATACATATACATAATTATACATACATATATATGTATGTATACATACATGTGTATGTATACCTATATATACATCTAGGTACATATACACATATATATGGGTATATATACACATACATATATATGTATTATTCCAGTTTACTTGGGACTCTATATTATGTTTGTTTACATATGAGACATGAGTGTATGTATTTGTCTGTCTATCTATCTTCCTGCCTTCCTACCTCCCTATCTATATCATCTTTATGGTTTATTTAAGTTTGGAGTTCAAGCATTCTTAGCAACTAAATTAGACCCTTCATAGCCAAGATAGTCAAGTTGTATAATACAGAATTACGATAAAAGACAGGAAAAAAATCCTTTGTATAAAGTACTATTGACTTCTTGTCTCCAGTTAGAAAATTATGGGAATTGGAAAAAAATTCAACAACAAAATTGGACTTGAGTTGTGTTAGTGTCTACAGCCAGTAATAATCAGATGGTAAATTGAAAGTAATGAATAATTTTTCTCTAGATTCCCACAGCTTAAACATGGATATTCAAATCCATGAGTAAACTGTTATGAAACTAATCAGAACATTTATCCCTTATAACCTGATGATTATTTTCAGCTATCACAGAAAGCTTTATCCATATTCTAGTTGTGGCTGTCAATTAGTTTTGCTGGAGCAGTTATTTTCTACAGTTTTCCTTTTTGTTCACACAACCTAAATACTAATATGTAAGATTAAACCCTTTAGGTATTGCCAAAGTTATGTTCAGTTCATCAACTACTAATTCTAACTTCACAGTCATCTCTCCCACTGAAGAAATAAGCAAACAAGACAATCCCCAAAGGGACATTTTTAAATTTTTAATGTTACCTTATCTTTAGATGAAAAACAGTTATTTGCAAATTTAAGTAAATTAAAAATTATTAGATAAGTCTGCTTTCAGAACACTATTTTATTGTGGGGACTTGTAGATATAAAAGATAAATCAGAGATATGGAAAGATATGGGGAAATATTGAAGATATGAAAGGGGAGAGTAAATGAATGATAATTGGAAGCTAAAAATATATTTTAAAATTTTCTAGTTGGAGCCGGGCGCTGGTGGCTCACGCCTGTAATCCTAGCTACTCAGGAGGCTGAGATCTGAGGATCGCGGTTCAAAGCCAGCCAGGGCAGGAGAGACCATGAGACTCCTATCTCCAATAAACCACCAGAAAAAACCGGAAGTGGCGCTGTAGCTCAAGTGGTAGAGCGCTCGCCTTGAGCTGAAGAGCTGAGGGACAGCGCCCAGGCCCAGAGTTCAAGCCCCACGACCGACAAAAAAAAAAAAAAAAAAAATTTTCTAGTTGGAGAAACGTTGAAAAATTCAGATTAACCTCCAAGAAAAACTTGTTTCAATGTTTTATATGTTCAGTTTACACCAGCATTGAAAATCTGAGTTTTCCTTCCCAGCTAATAAAATAAACTTGTGCCACAGAGAGGTTCTGTGAATAAGAATGATATTTATTCTAACTGATAAACAAAAAGATGCTTTCCAGATGAATAAAACAAAACCTACAGTTTTGATTCTACTCGAAGTACTATTCATCCTTTAATTTTAATTTAAGCAAAATTGTTTATTCTTTTAAATATTGTTTAGGTCAATAAAACTTGAAAATACAAATCTTAACATAGGGAAATGTCAATTATATGTTATTTAATCCAGAAACGAAGGAAACCCTCAATATCCTATCATGCAAATAGGTAAAGGTCGCCTAAAATTGGAACTTTTGGTATTTTAAATGTTGAGTGATTTAAAAATAAAATGATAATATCATTCTGAACATAGTACAAGTAATTATAGGTTGTGCACCAAGAAACTGAAGATTGAGAAGCTAGATTGTCTGACAGTATGTACTTTTCCTTTATGGAAATTGAAGAGCTGGGGGTTGAAATAAAATACTTGGTGATAATATGTCAGTATTAGTTATAGGGACCCCAAAGTTTACAAGGCAACCATAAGCTAAACAGATTGTTGCCCTATAAGCAGACAGTTTGCATATGATGATATGTACAAAAATTGAGCAAGGGAGGCAGGACAAACATTTCTCTTTCTCTACTGAGAAATGGGTCTTTGCAATGGCTAGGTCAACAATAGACAATTAAATCCCATTACCTTTACAGTCAGACTTAATGTCTCAGATTCTGTACCATATTGGTCATGATCTATTATGTATCTAGTTTATTTTACACTTTCCATCTGAAATTCAAGCATGAAAAATATTCACTGGGTTCTACTTGACGTGTTCATCCAGTTAGAGGGATGAATGATAGGTCTGGAAGAATATGAAAGATTTTTTTTGCAAAGATCCTGTCAGATAAACTAGGAAAGATACTGAACCCAGAATACTACAGACCATGCCCTGATCCATGCCCACCTCCGCTGACCTAGTCATCTCTCACAAGATGTCTATGGTCACATATGTCTGTTTTTAATTTTAAACAAGATAGAATGAAATGAAGGGAAATGACCTGAAATGAAAAATTGTATACATTTATGTTTCTTTTATGTCCTCTCAATTTGCAGATAATTCAGGAAGATATTCTTGATAACGGAAATGACAAAAATGAGAAGGAGGAAGTCATAAAGAGAAAAATCCCTTACATTCTGAAAAGGCAGCTGTATGAGAATAAGCCCAGGAGACCCTACATACTCAAAAGGGGTTCTTACTACTACTGAGAAGATAAATAGTTACTAACATGTGCTTGTGACTATTAGTGTTTAACTAAATATTTAACTGTAGTTATGTGAAAATGTGGCAAAAATATTTACATTGTCTCTTCTACAACTGTGGCTCAGTAGATGTAAATTTTTCCTGCATTAATATAAAGTGGGCTAAATGTTTACAAATAAATCGAAATTTTGAGCATGATGTGTTATGTATAATTGGAGTAGGTGTTAATTATTATATACATAAAATATTGTGTAGTTTTGCAAGGCATAGTATGGTTATGTCAAATATTTGGCATTTTATTTGAAGCTAAGTTTTTTTTTTTTTAATTGTGAAAATACCCTACAGAGGGGTTACAATTACATGGGCAAGGTAATGAGTCTATTTCTTATCAAGCGTTGTTGCCTCCTCCTTTGTTTCCCTTTCCCATCCCTTCCCATCTTCCCCCCCTCCCCAAAGTCTTGCATACATTTCACTGACACCAAACGGAGTAATGACACCACTGTTATTATTTCTTTTTATTTCATTTTATTTCATTTTAAGAAATGCACCCTTCTTCTTAAGATTTACTCACATTTTATATATATATATATATATATATATATATATATATATATATATATATATATATATATATATATATATGTAGGGGATGCTGTTGTGAAAGTAGGACTATCTGAAACAAGATAAATGAAAAAACTGTTAATTGTGCCCATTTTAGTGAATAGCCTTTAAGTGAAATTTTTATGTTAAATGAATGGGAAAGCTAATCAAAAAGACAACAGGTCATTAGAAATACATGCTTCACTGCAGATTTACTTCCATTAGAAAATTTTAAAATCTTTTTAACTCCATTGTCCTAGTCTCTTCCACTCTTCATGGTCTGATCATCCCTTTATCGTTCTCATTATTTGATTTGCACTTTAAGTCCAAGAATGTAATGCCTCCCTTTTAAGACTCACCTCCCTGTCTTAGGAGCACAATAGAGCATCCTGCTGACATTGCTTCTGACTCTTCTTAAGAAATTGAATACAGCACCAACCTTTCTGAACTGCATTTAAATATTTTGATCACAGATCTCAGATATCCATTTACTGATTACAGAATTTTACAATTCCTTAAAAAATTACACCTCTGATTGTCACTTTTGTTGGTTCCTATCTTCTCATTTCTTCAGTTATGACATTATTAATTATCTTTCTTAAATTTTTTAAAAAATTGTTTTGCCAGTCCTGGGACTTGAACTCAGGGCTGGGCACTGCCCCTGAGCTTCTTTTGCTAAAGGCTATCACTCTACCACTTGAACCATAGCATCACTTCCAGTTTTTTTCTGTTTATGTGGTGCTGAGGAATCAAACCCAGGGCTTCATGTATGGTAGTCAAGCACTCTACCACTAAGCCACATCCCCAGACCCAATTCTCTTTATTTTTATGTGATCTTTAGAATTATTTAACCCAAACTTAATAAGAAAAATAATCACATAATTCCTTCCTCCTCCATCCACCAAAGAGAACAGCCAAACTGCATCCAGCTGCAATTATTTTTCTCCCCTGCCACTTCGGTGGGAGGCATCGTCCCTTTTCTTCTTGGTGTCTTTCCTTTACTTCCTTGATTCAGGAAATATCTGCCCCACAAGCCCTTCTGAGGTTAACAAAACTGTCAACAAAACTGGAACAAATATTCAGAAAAAAATAAGCTGCTCAGAAATATTTATAAGGTTTCATTCATCATTGTCCTATTGGTAAAAAGCAAGGTATCTTTAGTAGACAAATGGATAAATAAAATTTCAGCATACCCAATCAATACAATAAAACTCAGTTATAAAATGTTACTGGTGACTCATAATATGGTAGCTACACAGGAGCCTGAGAGCTAGAGGACCGCAGTTTGAAACCAATCCAGGTAGAAAAGTTTGTCATTAACTGTTTTCAAAATTCAAAAAGCAGGGGTGGAGGCATGGCTCAAATGGTCAAGTGACAAACGGGCAAGCAAGCAGAGCAAATCAGAACCAGAATGAGATCCTAAATTCAAGCCTTGGTACTGTTATACAAGGAAACAAAGAAGCAAATTAAATAAATATGAATAAATAAACTGTTAAACCATAGAAATTCATAACAAACTTAAAAGCATGTTCTAAGTAAGAGAAAGAAAGTAATATTAAAATCTATGTATGGTCTGATTCTAACGACATCACATTCCATAAAAGGAGGAAGAGTGGAAATAATGAAAACCACAGATTTTCAGGGATTGTTTTTAGTGAGAAGGATGAATAGACTAAGCACAGAGCATCTTTAGAAGAAAAAGATATTAGGATGGTCAATCATATATTTGTTCATGTTCATAAAATATACAGTCAAGAGTCAAGCCGAGTGAAAACCATGAAAGTATGTGTACTGATGTACACATACTGATGCACACATACTTTGGGAGAGAGCTAGAAAGGAAATCTTTATATCTTCTTTTACTTTTGCTGTGAGCCTAAAACTAATGGAAAAGAAAAAAAAAAGGTTGGTTTACAAAATTTTTTTATTGAACTTGGACAAAAATCCAAATTTTTCTCCTCAAAAGGCCTCCAAAGATCTAGAATTTGCCTCCTTTTGTACTCCCTTCCATTCATTTTCCCCAGCCACAGTCATACCAGTATTTTGGTTCCTTCACTATCACTGCATTGCTTATGTATCAGAGCCTTTGTGGTTGAGGAACCTGTTTCTCAAACACTTCTGGAAGAAAATCTTTTTTCGCTGTTGTTTTCTAAACAAATACAATAGCTGGTTATCTCATTGCCAGTATCTCCTTTGTCCAGGAATCATTATGTTGGAGCCAAGGACTCTGGAGAGAAAAAGGTAATCTTTATTAACTTGGAAAGAGATGTTAGTCCTTGTAATATTTAATCATCCTTTTGTTGGCCTTCATTGTGAAGTTTTCTTTTTTCAAACACACAAATGTCATCATCTTAGGGACAGAGAAGAGTCATTTAGCTACTGTATGGAACAAAGCTCTCTAACCAACCCAGGGCCACAAAGGTAATTACTTAAAAGACAACACTCAAAAAAACACACATCTTCAGCCTTATTGTTGTAAAGTAACAGCCATCCTATGAACTATGTCTTCTTCTAGATCAACCCACTCATGGTTTCTCTCTACATGGTTTTTCACAGCAGATCTTTTCAAGACATCCATCTGGGGTTGGGATGTAACTCAGTGGCAAAGGCATTTGTCTACCAAGTGCAATATCCTTGGTTCAATCTCCAGTACCTAAAAGACAATGTCTATGTGCCACTGATAATATAAAATAATAATATCTATTTAATGAACTCCAGGAAATGGAAACCAGAGGAATTTTCTTCATTGCTTTTGTTTTCTTTTTGTATTGTTTGTTCATTTTTCTGTCTTTGGGAGGTTCGAGGGTAGAGGTGGGACACAGAAATAGATGGACAGCTGGGCGCCAGTGCCTCACGCCTGTAATCCTAGCTATTCAGGAGTCTGGGATCTGAGAACGGTGGTTCAAAGCCAGCCCTCGCGAGAAAGTCCGTGAAACTGTTATCTCCAATAAACCACCAGAAAACTGAAAGTGGCGTTGTAGCTCAAGTGGTAGAGCGACAGCCTTGAGCTGAAATGCTGAGAAACAGTGCCCAGGCCCAGAGTTCAAGCCCCACGACCGACAAGAAAAAAAAAAAAAAAGGATGGACAAAGGGTAAACAAATGTAGCATTGGCACTCACTAGATACTAGGTTGAAAATGACGACTTAAAGGTGGGCATGGGAAGGAAAAAATGGAAGAGAACAAAGGAAGGGGTAACATTGTCCAAAGTGAAATATACTCATTACCTGACTTATGAAATGGTACCCCTCTGCACAACACCTTTAAATATTAAAACAGAAAAACAAAACATCTATCTTAAATAGCCTGTATTCCCAAGTCAATATGTAGTCACTTAATTTTTATTTTAAAAAGATACAAAAAGGTAAAGGACAAATAATTTTCTTCTTCTTTTTTTTGGGGGGTCCGGTTGTGCGGCCTGAACTCTGGGCCTGGGCACTGTCCCTCAGCTCTTCAGCTCAAGGCTAGCGCTCTACCACTTGAGCCGCAGCACCACTTCCGACTTTTTTCTTTTTGCTTATGTGGTGCTGAGGAATCGAACCCAGGGCCTCAGGCATACATAGGCAAACGCTCTACCACCGAGCCACCTTCCCAGCCCTGAGGACGAATAATTTTCGATAGCTATCAGTTGGAAATTGATCTGTCACAGACAGGCCATGATGCTCTTCTTTAAACATAAACAATCCCATAGAACTAAACTTTCAGACTGAATCTCCGTAGCTGTCATGGTAAAACCATAAATATGACCACAACATAATCTTACCTGAGGAAAACTCAAAACTACACTACCAACCCAAAAATTATTAACTATATTCATTTCCCATCAAATTTGAATGACTGCCATGTCTTCATCTGTTACAGACTTAATCCTGTAACCTCCTGCATAAACTTAACCACCAAAATAGTCAATTGCTGTACTGTAGATGTTGATATTCCCTTAAAGGTACATGCATTACAGACTTGGTCCCCAGTATGTTCTACTAGGAGTTGGTAATATTCTTTAGGATGTGCATCCTTGTGGCAGGTACTTTGTTTATTGGGGATATGTGTCCAGAGGGGATTGAGACACTGTCCCCTTCCTCCTTTACTGCTTGGCCATAAGGTGAGCATCTGCTCAACCATGCAGTCTATGCCACTGCTATACAGAGCACTTACCAGCAGAGATCCAAACCAAGGTGTCTGGCCAACTTTGGACTGGAACCTCTAAGGGCATGTTCCAAAATATTTTTTTTTCATTTCAGGTTAATTATCTCAGGTAATTAGCTATAATGATAATTAAGTGACTAAGACAAATCTGACAGAATTATCTAAGCTTTCTGAAACTAGCCCAGCCAGAGCAAAACTAAATTTTTCTGAACATTCTCAAACATCTCAAATCCTACAAAATATACCTGTTTATCTTCAAATACCCCACACTGAAATATTAACAAAATTCTATTTTGTATTTTTAAAATTGGAAAATAATA